CGTGGAAGTCCACACGTCGACGCCGCCTGTCCTCCTCCAGCAGATCACTCTTGGTGCCGCACAGGTAGATCTGACAGCCCTGGAGCAGAAGGCAAGGTCAGGGTCACTCCCATGGACCACCAGCCTCTGGTCCTCTGGTGAGGTCTGGCACTTACCTCTTCTAGGTTGCGCAGTTCCTTCACCCAGAACTTTGCCCGCTCAAAGCTGCTGCTGTCCGTCAGGTCTTGATGTGGGACGCACAGGAAACACACCAAGGGTCAGGGGCTGTTCTCTAAGGCCGGCCTGACACCCAACCCTTCTTGTTTGAGGAACAGGCCAGAGCCTCTCTTACCGTAGCAGACGATGGCAGCCTTGGCACCCCGGTAGTAGATTCGGCTCATCGCCTCGTAGCGCTCAGAGCCTGCTGTGTCCTGAAGGGCAGGGGGCGGCTCAGCCCTGGCCTGAGTTACTGAGCTACTCCCCAAGACTGCAAACTACTATCACGTCCTTCAGACCCCTATTTTTAAACTGGGGTTTAGAGAACGGCCTCTAAGAGACAAGTCAGTCAGTAATAGGAGAACCTAAGCCTCCTCAGAATTGGGTGATCTCAGGACTACTCGCCCAGGGGACTTACCCAAATACCTAAAGTCACCGTCCGGTCTCCAACGGACATCACCTTGGCCACGAAGGCGGCCCCGATGGTCTGCAATCAGGGGGAAGCGATCAGGGCCGCGGGTGCTGGTCAGCTCCCTCCCACTCGTGCCCGGCCCCGCGGAGCGCACTCACGTTCTGATAGGGCCCCACCAGGAAGCGGTCGTGCACGTATCGTTCCACCAGGCTCGTCTTGCCCACGTACTCCTTGCCCAGCATCACCACCTTGACGTCCACGCGCTGCCCGCTCATGCTCCCGGGGCCGCCTCACCCGCGTCAGGGTCCTGAGCGGGGGCGGAGGCAAACCCGGATCTCCGCTCAGGCAGGCAGCGCCCAAACCTCGGTCCCCGACCCCAGGCACCAACCTACGACTGGAGACACTGCGTCGGCTCGGCCTCCGGCAGTGCCCCCGTCTGCCCCGTTCTCTGGCCCCAGGCGCGGATCCTCCTTCGAAGTCCCCCCAGGACTCGGGGCGGCCTGAGAGCGCGCGCGGCAGCGCCCTTAACGGCGCCGCACGCCGCACGCCACCGCCCAGCTCGTTTGCTGGGCTTAGGCGTCGTTCCCGCACGGATTCCCCACGGAACCTGGGGCCCTTTCAACCTGGGTCAGACCCGCAGCTCCGCGACTCCCGCGGGGGAGGGGGAGGGGTGAGGAGGGAGGGGCGGGGCCACGGGATCACGTGTGCGGGCGCCGGAAGTGGTGGGTACTGCGCGGATGCGCCGGAAGTTGCGCGCGGCCGGACAACTCCTCATGGCGGCGGCGGCTTCTTGGGCGCGGTGCTGTGGTGACTGAGCTGCGAGCCTGGAGGGCGTGCGCCGAGCCGCGGCCCGGCCTCCGCGTGCCCACCCCGGGCTTTGCACCCCTGATGCTGCTTGGATGCTGAGCCCGCCCCGGCCGGGACGATGGTGAAGTATTTCCTGGGCCAGAGCGTGCTCCGGAGTTCCTGGGACCAAGTGTTCGCTGCCTTCTGGCAGCGGTACCCGAATCCCTATAGGTACGTGGCCCTGGAAAGAGCAGTCCTCTCCTCTCGCTGTTTGGAGATCGAAGTGTGGGGCCGGGAAGGACTCGACATCGAGTCGGAGGTAGGGGATCGGCGGAACCGTGGCCATCTGTAGGTTAAGAAAACCCTATCCGGGAAGCGGCCAGGCCTGCAAGGTAGTGGAAAGAGGCTGGGCCTGGGCTGTGGTTTACTTGAGGCTGTAGTCCAAGGTTCTCTCATTTCGGGGTGGTGAGACAGGAAGAGGCGGGGGAACTTGAGTTGGGAGGGATCTTGAGGTTGGAAATCCGGGCGTTGGCCAACTCCAGTGCCTGTGGCATTCTCCACGGGTGTAATAAATCATGAGGTCCAGCTGGACCGGTCAGCGAGGGGGCGGGAGTTGGAATTTGCCTGCGGATAGGCTCAACGAACTCTAGATCAGGTCCGAGGCACGCCACTTATCACTGCAGGTGATCGTGCCAAGTTTGGGGAAGGCATGGCCATTCTGGGCCAGGAGGCTCCAAATGGGAAACCCAACAGGCAGCATGCTCCCTAGAGTCACCTTTACTCTGATACTTGCAGCAAACATGTCTTGACGGAAGATATAGTGCACCGGGAGGTGACCCCTGACCAGAAGCTCCTGTCCCGGCGTCTCCTGACCAAGACTAACAGGATGCCCCGCTGGGCCGAGCGACTGTTTCCTGCCAATGTTGCTCACTCGGTGTACATCCTGGAGGATTCTATTGTGGACCCGCAGAACCAGACCATGACCACCTTCACCTGGAACATCAACCATGCCCGGCTGATGGTGAGACTACCCTCCCCTTATTCCCCCAGAAGTAGAAAACTCCAGGTACCTGTGGCTAGGGAGCCATGAAGGAAATTCTATGGTCTGGGGCAGATCTGGGTTACTAGGGAGTGATAGCTCTAGAGTGTAACTCAGATGATCTTTTCAGCTGGTTAGTATCTCTGGACCAGTCTTTTAACTCATTGATACTGAGGGTACCTGTTCTACAGAGTTGTTCCAAGTACTAAATACAGAGTACCCTCACTGTGCCTGGCATATGTATAGTTTGGGCTCACAGGAGTGATGCTGAGGAAGGGAGGTGGTAATTTTCGAACAGGAGTCCATCAAGCTATAAGGAATTCCTTTGTGCCTCAGAGGGGAGAGGTTCTGGGCCTCTTGCCCCATAATTAGAGGAGTTCTGTCTTATGATGTTTATTAAGACATTTATCTGTCTTATGTAATGGAATTTTGTCTGAGATTTTGGTGGAAGAGGTTCATACACGTTTTGATTTTTTTGCACATAAAAAAGCTTGAAAACTTTAAAGAAAGCTAGTGCAGTATTTTCTCGCTTGTGAATATTCTAAAAGCTTTCAGAGAACTCTTCATTCTCTTTCTCAGCTAATCTTCACAGTAACCCTGGAAAGGTGGGTATTATTCTCTATTATGCAAAGAGGGAAGTGAGGTTCAGAGAGGGGAAGTGTCCTGCAAGGTCACAGAGTGAGCAGGCACCTTGATATTCTCCCCCAGAGTTTCCTGAAGGCTTCACAGCAGACTATCCTGAGGGCATAACCTGTTTTTATAAATTACAAAGATAGTGATCCAGCTGTCAAGACCTGTCTTTTAAGTGTTTCTTTTGGAAATACCGGTCCACTTCTCTGATAATGAGCTGTGACGACTGCCAGATTTCCATTTTGGAAATGGGAGCTCAAGAGCTGTAGTGGTGGAAGGCAGGCTAAAAGCACTGCATGGAAACCTAGCAAACAAAATCCAGGACCAGGATAGAGCTGGAAGGCACCCTACTGATCTCGAGTCTGTATGCCTCTTAGTTTGAAGAGTTAGAGGAGAGGTGTTAGCAAAATGGCCTTTTTTATGTTCTTGCTCTTCCTAAAATGCAGATTTGGCATACAGTAAGTGAAAGAAGTAGGTTTTCATTTTATTGCCTTACCTTGTGAAAGAGAGGCAGGGGATCACATTGATGTGCAAGTTTGGTAAAGTGAAGGACACCCCCACAGTTGTGGTTGGCCTGATTCCCCGCACAGGTGGTGGAGGAACGATGTGTTTACTGTGTGAACTCTGATAACAGCGGCTGGACCGAAATCCGCCGGGAAGCCTGGGTCTCCTCTAGTTTATTTGGTGTCTCCAGAGCTGTCCAGGTGAGCAGCTTTGTGGGGGTGCTGGGTCTTTGGGGGCCCAGGCATTTGGCACAAAGACTTGACTAGGGATCAGTGGGAAGCTCCAAATCTTTACCCCTTTCTTCTTTTGCCAGGAATTTGGCCTTGCCCGGTTCAAAAGCAATGTGACCAAGACTATGAAGGGCTTTGAATACATCTTGGCCAAGCTGCAAGGTGAGGGCTCTGGGCACAAAGAGAAGCTGGAGTCAAGTCCTAGCTGCCCTGATTTGTGTGGAGTCTGTGGCTATCACCACCCCACTCTAAGCCTGGGACTCCTGATCTCTACCCTGGGGCAAATACCACCTTTCCAATGGGGCCTGGCCCAAAGAGGGTGAATGTCATGGAGGGGTGATGAAATAGGTCTTCTTGGCATTCTCTGAAGCCAGCCCCTGCCCTTTGCTGCAGGTGAGGCCCCTTCCAAAACCCTTGTTGAGACAGCCAAGGAAGCCAAGGAGAAGGCAAAGGAGACGGCACTGGCAGCTACAGAGAAGGCCAAGGACCTTGCCAGCAAGGCAGCCACCAAGCAGCAACAGCAGCAGCAGCAGTTTGTGTAGCTAGCCCAGGCCCTGGTGCGGTAGGACACCTGACCACCCGGCTCAAATCCCTCCACCCTTTTCCCCCTTGTACTTTATTATTAGAAGTCAACTTCCAGCCCTTTCTACTGTCTGGGTGGTGGGTTGGGGGTGGGTGTCCCGTTTGCCATTTACAGTGCACCAGGCATGTTACCATGTCTGAGCTGGGCCTGCTTACTCCCGCATCGGGCAGCTGAGGACAGGCACAGAGAGGCGCGGTGAAGTGCCCAGGGTCACAGGCATTGTGCAGATGCAGTGGTAATAAATGCTAGACTGTAAGCTCCATGAGGGCAGGGACCTTTATTGCACTCTCTGATGTGTCCCAAGTACCTGGAAGAATACCTAGCACATTAACAGGCACTCAATAAATACTTGTTGAATTCAGTCAGCCCTAGCTCTGGAGTCAGAAAGCTTTAGGTTGAATCTTGACTCCGTGCTTTCCTGGCTTTGGACCTCAGGCAAGTCATCTCAGCCTCGTCCCGCCCATGAATTGGGGACAGACAGCCCCCAACTGTGAAAATTAAAGGGACACTGCTGGTATGGTCAACAGTGTCAGTAATGGCTACTGATCTCATTTCCTCTTTTCCAGTTTGTCTGCGGCTGGGAGTTCCCCATTTTCATCGGGCAAGACCATGTACAGGAAGTTAGTAAAGAGGTTTTTAATGAAAATACTGTACAGTATCTGGGACAAAGGCCAGAGAGCCTTGTCTAGGAAGGAATGTGAAGGCCCAAGAGGCTTCCTGCCCCCTTGGGGACAGCAGAGCCAAGTGCTACAAAAAAAAGGCCTGGAAGAGTGGCCCAGGCCTAAGCTGCCTGCCCTGTGGGGCTCAGGGGAAACCCAGGCACCCCTCCCCCAGGAGGCACAGCCGGCGGCAAGGTTGGGGGCAGGCACCTATTCCCACACAAGGGTCCTTTTAGTCCATTGCAACAGGAGGTGACTCCGAGCAGCCCCTGAGGCTTTGGGGAGGACTCCTGCCGGCAGAGCGGAGAGTAGTCTGAGGGTAGAGGCCCACTTTGGGGTGGTGAAGGTCATAGCCAGGTGGTTCTGCTGTGTGAGTAGCTGTGCTCCTGGCCTGCGCCGAAGACCCGCAGCAGCTCAGCCTCGCCCCCGAACACCAGGCTCTCCACGTCCACCTCTGCCTCCTCTACACAGGGAAGGGTCCAGTCAGCAGACCCGGCCCACTCAGTCTACACAACCCCTCAGCTTCGGGGCACTCACCTTGGTCTGAGTCCGAACGCTCCGACGAGAGGCCTGAAGAGTCCAGGCTGTCTGCCCGTGGCCGCTCCCTCTCACCTGGCCCCGCCAGCCCCCGGAGCTGCTCCAGCTGCTGCTGCAGGCTCTGCTGCTTACTGCGCAGCTTCTCCTTGAGCCGCCGCGCCTGCTGCTCCTGCTCCTCAAGCTTCTGCAGGTCCCAAGGGAGCAAGGGGCTGTGGGGTCAGCTGCCTGGGGGCCCGGGGCTCATCCCACCACACCTCAACAGTGACTGTCCGCTCCAGACCAGGGGCGTCTAAATTTGGGCCCCAGAGAGCTCCCGCATCTTCCGGGAAGCCAGCCCTCCTGCCCTCTGGGCCCGTGTAAATGGCCTATGAACGCTCTCGTGTTGAGGAGTTGGGGAGGGCGGGCACCACGATCTCAGGCCTTCAGAGCCTGGTCCAGCGATGTGAAAGGAGTCTTGTAGTGGCGAGCAGCAGGTTTTGGGGAGGACTGCCGCACACCTGCAAGCGGGCACCACGGCTCAAGGTGGCCACCTCCAGGTAATAGCCAGTTATAGCCACATGCAAATGGGCTTGGTGCTGCCAGACATCCTAATTTAAGAGAAGCTGGAAAGTCAGACTTTTTCATGTCAAATGTCCTTTTAAGTGCTGCCAACTAATTTAAATTTTTAGAAAACTGTAGACCGAACCGAGGCTACCAGTTTGTGACTCCTAGTCAAGACTCTCCCAGGAACCCTGTGCCTTCAGCATTAATCCTCCTCAAGCTCTGCCAGCCTGGGTTCCGGGGACTTGGAGGGCCAAGGGTCCTCCCACCAGAGCCTTTGGTGGGCAGAAGTCTGCATTAGTCAACAAGAAGGGGAGTACTGGATGAGGGGACACTTGTACTGGGTGCAGAAGGATAAGTAAGAGCTGCCTAGGCAAAATGGGGCAGGAAGAAGCATCATAGCAGAGGGAAACTGAGAAGAGCATAGAGACTTAAGCTTTTCTGGTGGGGCACAGGGATATGGGAGACCAAAAGCTGACCAGTAGCAAGGCCTGAGTTGTGAAGGGCCTGCAGTTTTGCAGGAACTGGGACTGTCCTGTCAAGAGCCACGGAAGGTTTCCAGCAGTAGACCTAAGGAGATCTATGTGCTACAAAGAACATTCTAGGGCAAGATGGAAGACGGCCTGGAGAAGGCAAAACAGGGCCAGGACAGGGGATATAGGACTTCAAGGAAGGAGCAATCCCTAGCTCCTGCCCATGGGCCAGCCAGCACCCAAGGGGCACGCATTATCTCTCCAAGAACCACGCCAGGCAAGCTCCGTGTGAGAAATGAGCCTGCTACCTGACCAGGGTGTCCTTCAACAGAGTCCAGGGATGCAGGCACTATGGGGTGGTGCTGACGTTCCCTACACCGTGATTTACTTGCTGCATAAGCACCTGGATCTCTCTACCACAACCCCTGGTGCCTACAACAGGTCCTGGTAGAACAGGTGCTCAATAAACACTTGAAGGAAACTGCAAATCAGGGAACTTGGGCCTGGGTTATGATTCTGCCTCTCATTAGCTGTGCTGCTTGGTCCTTAGCCTCCTGTGCCCCCATTTCTTCCTAGTCCAAAAGGACAAGAAAAGGCCTCTTGTTTCCAAGGCCACTTTTAGTCCATTCCCTAAGCTCCCATTGGGGGTGGGAGTAGGGGTGCTGCCTGGGGCATACCCCACTCCTGTCCACCAGGGGGTGCTGAGCTTAGCCCAGGCAGCGGAAGGGCCCTGGGAGGATAGGTGACTGACTTCCTCTGACCTTCCCCTCTCCTGGCCTCTGGAACTACTCTCCAAAATGGTATCAGAGTAGAGGGCTCAGAACCGGAGGCCTTGAAGGATGGGAGAGTGAGAGTGAAAACCAGCCCTCTGCAGTTCTAGGGACCCTGACACATGACACATCAAAATATTGTCAACAGACATGTCCCTCCTTACAGAGGAGGGTAAAGTCCAGAGAGGCTAAGTGACTTGCCAGTTAGGATTGAAGTGATATACTAGCTGTAATAGCCGTGAACATTTACTGAGCAAACTCAAGCCTCATAACAATCCTTACTTTCTGCTTTTCTTCCTACTTCACACATATGGAAGCTAAAAGCATAGAGAACTGTCCCATGTCACGCTGTTGACCTATGACCTCAAGCCTCTCTCCCCAGTTCCACTCAGCCCCTCCCTACTATACCTCTCAGGAGTTCTGGCAGGTTGGCCCCAGGGTGCAGGGGTAGCTCCATACCTGGATATGCATCCTGGCCCAGCGCAGAAGGCTCAATGTGGTGTACCGGGCACAGTCAGCCCCGAGGGGCATCTGCTGTTTTAGCTCTTCCAGGCACCTCTTCAACTGGGCCCTCCTGCAGGGGAAGGGGTCTGGAGGGCAGTGCCAGCCCAGCCTTGCTGGCTACAGGGGCAGTAGGGGAGGGGAGGCCAGAGGGAGGTGGTTCCTGGGGCCTGGTGATGTCAGGCAAAGCTAGGACTCACCTGCGCTTCTCCAGCTCGTTGTGCACAGACCTGTCAATGCCAGGGAGGATGGGGTGAGGGGGTGTCAGCTACTACCACACCGTCAGTCCCAGGGGCTTAAAATCCACTATAGTTGTCTGCTCCAAACTAGCCCAATGTGGGGATCTTGTGCCGGCCTTGGGCACTGGAATCCCCAGGAGAGAGAGAGACAAATGGGGCCAAAAGCTGGGAGGCCTGCCCAGGTGGTTGTGGGGTCTGAAAGAGGCCACCTACCAGCAGTCAGGAAGGGCTTCCTGGGCAGAGATGACAGTTGAGCTGGGCCAGAAACAAGCTATCCAAAGTGGGTAGTGGAAGGAGAGGCATTAAAATTGGAGGGAATAGCATGTGCAAAGGGCTGACACGAGAGAAGAGGAGGAAGCCTGTGGGAGAAATCGAGTGGAGTGAGATGTGGAGTGTGCTAGTGTGAGTGGAAGAAGGACCCTGAAGTATCCTATTTATAGCTCCTGACACAACAGGGGTGCTCAAGAAATAGTCCCTGAACGAATAGAGGGGAGTGAGGAGATGGCAGGAGAGGTCTGAACTGCCTCCAGAGTGAGGATCTGGCCCAGAAGATGCAAGCAACAAGGAGGAAGTGGGCAAAGGTGAGGCCCGATGAAGGGACCCATCCCCCCTCCTCTCCCCACCGTCCCCAGCACTCCTCACCGCCCACTGTCCAGCGTGCCAGAAGCTTGGGGGGATCGCTTCCTCCTCTTGTTGACTGGGCCCGGACTGCGGTGCGGGCACAGGGACGCGTAGCCATGCTCAGCTTCTGCCAGAGACAGCCCCCGCCCGCTTCAGGCTGGGGCTGGTCCCTGCAGGCGCCCCTGGCAAGGCACGGTCAGGGAAGGGTTTTTGGCGCCAGGGCCATTTTCCCAACCCCACCACCCCGCCAAACTGAGAAAGGGTGCCTCAGGGTTACTGCCTAAGGCCATGCATGCATCCTTCCAGTTGGGAGCCAAGTCTAGTCCAGGCCTGTGTCAGCGAGGTTGCTGCCTGGAGTCTGACCAATGTTTCTTCCTCACCTCTCTCGCGGCGCTCTAGGAACTCGGCCGCCTGCAGCAGGACCTGGATATTGCTGGCCACAGGTTCCATGTCGGAGACAGCTGGTGGCGGGCGGGCCTAAGGTGCTGGCCCGAAGAGCGGCTGCACCACTTTTGTTACAATGTAACTGACACGGTGCAACAAACACAGGGGCCCCGGCCCCGCCTCCGAGACACCCCGCCCCCGGACGGCCCAGTTCTTGGCCCCGCCCCTCTGGAAAGGGACCAGGGAACCGCAGCCCACCTCCACGAGCCAGCCCGGCCCCTCAGACTCCCAGGGCTGCCACGGGCGCTTCCTCCAGGCCCAGTTTTTGAGTGAGTCCCCAGGCTGAATGGGGCCGCATCTTGCCCATTTCGTTCAGCGACCCCACGCCGACTACTTGGAGTATCAGGGCCTCAGTTTCCAGCCCGGAGTTGATAGCGAAGACTCTGCCCCTAGAATGGTAATCCGGGCACCCGTGGTCTCTGGGAGGCCCCAGCTCGACTGCTGCACGTGGGCGCCACGGAGGCGGGGCCAGCGGGCACCTTTGCCCATTGCCTACTGCGGCTTGCTGTCGTCACCTTCAGGGCGGGGCCGGGGAGCTTGTGAGGCACTATTGGCTGCGTTCGGCCCCACCCTCCCCCTCCGCTGGCCTACAAATTCGGGCGGGAAAAGGAGCAGGTTTCAAATTTGAAAACCCGGGCGATTGGGCGGGGTTGGGCGGGAACGGAACTGCAGTGCGCAGGCGCCAGGGGAGGGGGCACGGATCCAGCTCCCAAGGCTTGGGGGTCTGTGCCCTAGCCTGCCTGCCATCTGCCCCTGTAGACCCCTGCTAGGCCTCAGCTTCCTATTGTGGTGAAGGGGAATGGTCTCCTGGCTCCTCCTCCCCCTCATCTGCAGGGAAACTATTGTTGCTAGGAAAATGTCAGTAGGGGGTACCAACTTCACAAACCAGGCCATACTCTGGAAGCAGGCGACCTAGTTTGTAGGGGAGCCCTGGGTTCTGGAGCCGACAAGGTTGGGTTCCTCTCCTGTCCCTGCTGCTTCTCAGCCGTGTGACTGGGAAGTGATCTCGCTCCTGTAAGTTCAGGAAGCCCTGTGACGACAGCACTGTCGCAGGACAAGAGCCCGTGCCCATCTGTGCCCAGTACACTGCAGCTGACTTCTGAGGCCAGGGCAACCAGACGCAGGTTTCTTCCTCCCACTGAGCCCCTGGTTGCCTGAGTTCAGGGCCACTTCTTTAACATGACGTTTTAGCTTTCTAAAGGAGTATATGCAGTGACTTCTAAGGGCAGCACCAGTAGGTGTGCCAAACCTGCGGGAACAGTGACAGTCCTAACCGTGGAGACAGGAAGATGAAAGCAGCTGTTACAGGGTGGAGAATTAAGCCAGGCTGGGGCTGAGTGTGAAATGGAGAGGGAGGAGGAGAGGGAGGATTCTTTTATTAAGAGACAGTCCTGGGGCGCGCCTGGGTGGTTCAGTTGGTTAAGCCTCGGACTTCGGCTCAGGTCATGATCTCGCGGATCCTGAGTTGATCGTGAGTTCGAGCGGCGCGTTGGGCTCTGTGCTGACAGCTCGGGGCCTGGAGCCCGTTTCAGATTCTGTCTGTCTCTCTCTACCCCTCCCCTACTTGCATTCTGTATCTCTCTCAAAAATAAACAAACATTAAAAAAAAAAAAAAAAGAGTCCTGGGAAACACATGATACAAAGCAGTTAGTCCTTGAGGGGAAAAACCTTCGGGTTTCTCTAGGAGTCACTCCTAGAGGAACCACTAACATTCTAGGGCCAAACTACTGCTGGAACTGCCCACCCATTCACCCATCCATTCACTCACAAGGTATTACCAGAGCAGTTACTGGACCCCAGACTCTGTGCTGGTTACTGGAGAATACAAAATGGGCAAAACCAGACAGAGTTCCTGCCTTTGCAGAGCTCACAGGCAAGAGGGATAGGGATCGACATAGTAATCACACAAAAGAGTTACAACTTGGACAGGTCCTCATAGGAAAAGACACAGTGTAAAGGCAAGTTCTTAGAAGCATGTGTGTGTCCTAATCCAGGTGGTCAGAGGTTTTTCTGGGCAAGTGGTGACTAGGTGTAATCTCTGCATAGGAGGTATGTAGAATTCCACACAAAGGAGCAACAGGTACAAAGGCCTGAGGCTGAAAAGACTGCATGCAGACCAAAAGAAGGCCGATGTGGCTAGCATACAGAAAATGAGCATGGTGCAGGCTGACTCCACAGAGGCTGGCAAGGCCCACAGTAGGCTGACTGGTTCTCTAAACCCTCACCCACGGTCAATTATGTCTGAAGAAAGGATGCCACACAAGGCTTGTGAATGAATTTCCAATCTTATTTCACTAACATCAGTACCCATACAGTGCAGGCACAAACCTACTACTCAGACCTCTAGGACCCAGGAGGTCCAGCTTGGAATGGAGGGAAAGATGGCAGGGAGGGATTCTGAAGAAGGAGAGTTCCCAGAAGAAGGTAGCAAGGCACACTTGAAAAACTAGACACTCCAGCTAGAAGTTGTGGGAAGTGACAGAGCAGCTGCAAGGGCACTACAGTGATCACACTGAAGACTAAACTTCATCCTGAAAGTCACGGGTGGGATTCAAGCTAGAAACAGCATGGAGACTAAGGTCAGGGCCACCACCAGGGTGGGGGGGGGGGAGCAGGAAGCAACACCTACCTCTCAGGAAACAGGGCAGGTGGGGAGGATGGGGAGGGATGTGTCATTTCCCTCTATCTGCTTTTAAGTTTTCTCTTGATGATGGTTTTCAGCTGTTGGCTATGGTACACCTGGGTGTGACTTCTTTGTATCTGTCTTAAGAATGTTGTGAGTTTCTGGAAAGTTTTTCAGTCTTTATTTCTTCAAATATTTTTTCCTGCCCTATTTTCTTTCTCTTGATCCCAATTTCATGTATGCTTCCCAGTCTCATAATATATCAATGCTAAGTGATGTTGTTAGTGTGGTCTGGGCTTTTTTTTTTTTTTAACGTTTATTTATTTTTGAGACAGAGAGAGATCGAGCATGAACGGGGGAGGGGCGGAGAGACACAGAATCGGAAGCAGGCTCCAGGCTCCGAGCCATCAGCCCAGAGCCCAACGCGGGGCTCAAACTCACGGACCGTGAGATCGTGACCTGAGTTGAAGTCAGACGCTTACCCGACTGAGCCACCCAGGAACCCCTGGGTTTTTTTTTTTTTTTTAAACATTTTTTAATGTCGGCACAAAAACACTCAGATCAATGGAACAGCCCACAAACATATGGCCAACTAATCTCTGACAAAGCAAGAAATAATATCCAATGGAAGAAAGACAGTCTCTTCAGCAAGTGGTGCTGGGAAAACTGGAACACGACATGCAGAAAAATGAACCTGGACCACTTGCTTACACTATACACAAAAATAAACTCAAAATGGATGAGAGACCTAAATGTGAGACAGGAAGCCATCAAAATCCTCTAGAAGAAAGCAGGCAAAAACCTCTTTGACCTTAGCTGCAGCAACTTCTTACTCAACACATCTCCAGAGGCAAGGGAAACAAAGGCAAAAATGAACTATTGGGACCTCATCAAAATACAAAGCTTCTGCACAGTGAAGGAAACAATCAGCAAAACTAAAAGGCAACCGACAGAATGGGAGCAGATATTTGCAAATGACATAGCAGATAAAGGGTTAGGATCCAAAATCTATAAAGAACTTATCAAACTCAACACCCAAAAAACAAATAATACAGGGAAGAAATGGGCAAAAGACATGAATAGACACTTTTCCAAAAAAGACATCCAGATGGCAAACCAACACATGAAAAGATGCTCAACATCACTCATCATCAGGGAAATACAAATCAAAACCACAATGAGATGCCACCTTACACCTGTCAGAATGGCTAACATTAACAACTCAGGCAACAACAGATGTTGGCGAGGATAAGGAGAAAAAGGATCTCTTTTGCATTGTTGGTGGGAATGCAAGCAGATGCAGCCACTCTAGAAAACAGTATGGAGGTTCCTCAAAAAAATTAAAAATAGAACTACCCTACGATCCAGCAATTGCACTACTAGGTATTTATCCAAGGGATACAGGTATGCTGTTTCGGAGGGACATATGCACCCCAATGTTTATAGCAGCACTATCAACAAAAGCCAAAGCATGGAAAGAGCCCAATGTCCATTGATGGATGAATGGATAAAGAAGATGTGTATACACACACACACACACACACACACACACACACACACACACACACACAATGGAGTATTACTTGGCAATCAAAAAGAATGAAATCTTGCCACTTGCAACTATGTGGATGGAACTAGAGGTATTATGCTAAGCAAAATTAGAGAAAGACAAATATCATATGACTTCACTCATATGAAAACTTTAAGACACATAACAGATGAACATAAGGGAAGGGAAGCAAAAATAATATAAAAACAGGGGGACAAAACATAAGAGACTCTTAAATATGGAGAAGAAACAAAGGGTTACTAGAGGGGTTGTGGGAGGGGGGGATGGGTTAAATGGTAAGAGGCATTAAGGAATCTACTCCTGAAATCACTGTTGCACTGTATGCTAATTTGGATGTAAATTTAAAAAATAAAATTAAAATAAAAACAACAAAGCAAAATAATAACCATCAAAGTTAAACAAACAAACAAAACAAAACGCGTTTTAATGTTTATTTCGGGGGGGGGGGGGTGTGCACACAAGGGGCAGGGTCAGAAACAGGGGGCAGAGAGAGAGAATCCCAAGCAGGCTCTGCACTGGCAGTACAGAGCCCAATGAGGGCCTTGAACTCATGAATTGTGAGATCATGACCTGAGCCGAATTCAACAGTCAGATGCTTAACCAGCTGAGCCATCCAGGCACCCCTCAGGTTTGTTTTTTTTCTTTTAATCTCTCTGCTTCAGTGTGGTAAATTCTATTTATTTGTCTTCAAGTTCACTTATTCTTTCTTCTGTAACATCCAATTTGGTGTTTAGCCCATCCATTGTGGTTTTTATTTTAGCTACTATATTTTTCAGATCTAGAATTTCCATTTGGTCCTTTTTAAAAAGTTTGCTACCATATCCTAAGATATCTCATTACCTTGTGTATTAATTTCCTAGGGCCATAACAAAGTACTATAAAATGAATGGCCTGAAACAACAAGAATGTATTCTCTCACAGTTCTGGAGGTTGAAAGTCCAAAATCCAGGT